GACAAATAGTGTAACATATACTAGACAAGATTTTTCTACAATTCCATGGTGATTTTTGTTCACCAAAATGTAACTTTTGTGCGTTGATGATATTATTTAGAACTTAAAGTTCATTATACAAACTAGAAGATAAATTACATAGGATTTTTTTAAAGAGATTGCCTTATAATATTTTAATTGTTTTGTTGTCGGATTTTCACAATTTATATCATTCCCGGGGTTTGACATCGTCCACTTTGAGGAAGAAGAAATCGAATAGTGATACAGAGTTGTCGGTTAGCTTACTCGTTATGCGCATGCGCATTATATTTTAATATTGCGCCGCCAGGCATTCTGCTCATTGCAGTGATCTTGCAGTCAAGGTGAAACACTATTATTTAGTGGCCAGTCTTGTGTGCAAACTAAGCTGCTATACTCTCGTAGTTGCTTAAGCAGCTTTTGTGAGTAATAGGTGTTTTTCGTTTCTGCGAGATCTCGTGAAAAGCGCGCGCCGAAGCGTCTGCCGCAAAATTGATTTAATTTTGAACTTGGATTTCTTTTGTTATAGATTATATATCAAAATGCCGATCTCTCAGTGGGGAATATGGCGTCATCAAATCTGGCCATCATTAAAGGCGTACTGTGCATTATTAAACTCGATAATACCCCACCAAGCCTTGTTTGTGTTTGTCGAATCCTACGAAGAGGTTTTGACGCCACTACGACGCTATGACCTTTGTTTGTCGGGTTTTACATTCGATTCCACACATAACGCGGGATCTCGCAATGAACGGAAAATGGTCTATTGAACACATTTCCTGGAAACATATTATTTTTGATGGGGCCGTTCCTGCTACATGTTGGCAACCAACGTAGCTGATGGATTCTGAGCGATTTGTCTACAGTACTTAACTTAGTTTTCAATTTCGATTAAGAATAAATGGAATGCAAAATAGGCAGTACTATGATCCAACATAGGCCTGTGTTACAGAGAACGCTGCGTGTATGATCATAGTTTTGACTATGATATGTATGTAACATTTTTAAAACATACGTTTTTGACATTTATCCATTTCGATTTTCAAAAATGCATGTTAAATATTCATTAAATGATAAAACAATTGTGAGTAAATCGCGATTAATTTTAGACAAAAACTGACAATTCGTTTTCAAATATTAACTAATACTGTTAGTTATATTGATATGTTCTCTATTGCATTAATGAATATTTCTGACTTGGAACGAGGATGAAGTATAAACCTGATGTAATAGTAATCAACCGTTGCTAACATGGCGTTATGGTTATTTATTACAAACTCAACACATCAGACACAGTTTGAGAAAAAAGCACTTGGCAACTGGCATTTAGAATGCCGTAGGGTGTCCTAAATGCACGTGGAAGCGTCAAATCTGTCACGTTCGAAAAAAAAAACCAAGCTCAGTGAAGGTGCTCTGGAATTAACAGTGTCGGGAAATAGTGTTTCTCTAGACAGACGTGCGCGTTTTTTCCTCCTTACAATATATTATAAATGTTTTTAAATGTAACTGATTTCCGGGGTGAAAAATTGTCTCTATTAACATGAACCCGTTTACAAGTAATTCTTTTTTTTTTTACCTACAGATTGTTCGGCTTTTAAAAAATATAGAATGTTTTTTTCATAGCTTTAATTCTTCGATGTCTCGTCGAGTTTTATGCGTAATGTAGACATCGGAAACGGACCTTGATCCTAACAGCACAAATGATAGTCATAAAAACTGTATTCATACGACACCTATACAAACTATTAAACAGCGATAATAGTGCATTTACCAATAGAGCTGTGTTCGCACTGACTTAAAAAATCATCCCTGGGATTGTATCTATCTATCTTTTGAGAGTTCCTTTCTCGCGAAACCTCCTCCAGATTTAGTCCACCCTCTTTCAGAATAATCACTTATATTGTGCACAGTTATTAACCTCCCCTGACAATGGATAAAATCACGTGCGATTTAACTGAATATTCAATATGTCTATAGCATAGCTCGTATGGTATTGATTACTTGAAAGAGAAGCTGGCAATAATGTTTAATATTGAACACGCAAGCTGAACATACTTCTGCATTCTGCGCACAATATCGTGGAAACCACAGGCATTTCGTCCCTTTCAGATGTAAATTACAAAACCAGTAAAATATGCATCGCCGATTATAGATAGAAATTATTGTGAGGGTAAAGAAAGGTTGGCGGACGAGGATCGTACTGAGAGATAGTCGAGAGCATTGTATTCGTGGTATGCGTGAGTGATCTCATTCAGAAGACCACTATCGGAGCGAATACAGTGTGTTAGTGATGAATAGGCAACTGAAATCAAGCGGAACGAATGTCAGTAGGGGAAATGCAGAAAACTGTCATTTCTTATCGCATTTTAGCGCCGCATTCTGGATTAAATATCTTCGTAATTAAGTGCGGTGAAACACCACGCCGTGATAAAAATAATATACACGAGCTATAATTTTCATGCTGCTGAAAAAATAAACGACAACGGTGCGTCGGATGTACGTCTCAGTGTCATGTCGTGGACCCAGAGGGCCGGAGTAAACGTCGGTTGTGTGGGGATTTTATATGTTATATTTATATTATTATAAACCTTTAATATAAGAAGACGTTATCGTTCCGGCAAGGTATTGGATTATCTGATAGGTGTGTCATGAATTTAGTACCTTAACATTGATAAATTAAATCGACCTTTATTTGTGTATACAGCGCCTTATTGGACGCGTTTTGAGTAGTCGATTTCTACCTATCACAGTCACATGATCTTTAGAATCACCCATACCCTTTGTACAAGTGACCTGTGTATTTTATTCAACAGTGTAAGGTTTCGTAATCTAACTTTCACATGGCTAATACCTTTTACACCGCGGCGTCGTGACCTTTTTTGGCGGCAAAGTTTTGGAAAGCTGCGGAAGCGCGATGAGCGGGTGGATGACGTCATAGATGGGGCAACAGTGGTAAGCAATGATTGGATGACTGTTGACGAAATTGTGCGTATTGCGATTACATTTTTTTTTAGTCTTCGAACAAATTGTGTAAAGATTGCTGATTACCCTCAAAATTGCGAGTATCACATCGAATATAGGGGCGTCTGCTACCATAGTGATACACCATTGAACGAATAAAATTGTTTCAATTCAAATTGGCCCAGTTTTGAGAATAACAACTGACTACCCATAGTATTAAAGATATAAATTTCGTGTTGACTGCGTTATTGAAGGCATTTAAAGAGACGTTGTGATCATGTAGCTGCTGGTTAGTTTGACGATCAGATATGAACATAAAAACATAAATGTTGCGTTTTTTTTTTGCCAGGGACCACGTAATTGAATCTACGTATTCATAACAAATAAAAGTACCAGAACGCAAATATTGTATTTTTACAATCCATAGACGTTCCGTAGGTATTGTGCGTATCAATATAGATCGACACGCATTTTTCACCTGATACCAAGGTGGTCCATGACTATTTATGCTTGCAATTGATATTGTTATATTCTGAATATACTCCAAGTCCCCGGTGACTTCACATTCACGGGTAATCAGTCGGCAACGTCTCAACTGACGCAAAAGCAAGTAGGATTGTTTGCAGAACACCGTTTTTGTATACCGTATCTCTTCTTATTTTTGTTCTTTTTCTTCAACCTTCCACAATCTTTGCGAATCACGTACCCCGAAATATGGCCAGGGAAGACAGCCTAGAGTGTACCCTAAGAATCAGCGCACATGCAATTCCTTTACAATTCTTCTCTTCCGTAAAAAAAATCGACTCGAATTTATGCTTGTTTTTAAAATACAGTCATTTTTGACAGGTTCTGATAAAGCCCATAGTACGGTGCACGCCCCTTGAAAATACAACCACTTTTTTATTAAGACGTACACGAGCGAACACTTAATACACTGAATCAGCCTGTCAGTAATGTCATTGCCACAGACGACTATAAACCCAGCTTAGCTGATCTCAACGAGAGTTCATCTAACGTGCATTTAAGAAAAAAAATAGAGCACTAGTAACAAGAACATATATTTACGACGACATATTATTTTTAATTTACAGTGAGTGTAAATAGGTCCAACTGTATCTGCGTGCTATTTTTTTCTTAAATATGCCCCATTATTCCTTAGTGTGCTGACTTATAAAAATAGAACGTGTTATCGTGAATGCCGTACACATAGGCAATGCGTCATAGTTAATAACAGTCATAACTAGACTTCACCGTGATGACGTAACAGTATTCTATTGCGGAGGCAATCTGTGTTTATAATAAACCGCCCTTTGTTATACGCTAGCCGTGTCTATCTTGAATTATCGACTCGGGTGGTATGCATGATATAAATATATATACATCTACCATAAAATTGAAAAAAAAATCGCATTTTGACAAATACAAGTAGTTGCGACGTTTCGAGTTGTTTTATAATTCCTCTGTGTTTCTTGTCTTTCTAAGAATTTGTTTCATTTTAAAGGATTATTTTATTGCATGTTTATAAAACACAGTTTGCCTCAAAGGTAAGTCGGTGCTGAGAATCGATGTCTGTCTATATAAGGCAAACATGTTGGCAACCTGCTTGAGGGTGAGGTACTTCCTGGCCTTCTCGGTATTAGTACACAATGCGACGCTATTACAAGAATGGAAAGCCTACACGACCACATCAAGCACGACACGCCGTTATTGTTGTGCGCGGAAGCGTTTTTTATTGGCGAACATATACGAAAGGAAGCAGGTACATTGCCATCGGAATAACACACGGCATGGATCTGACGTACACAATGTAGAATAAATATATAATGGAAAACTAAATCGTCTGATGTGTATTTCGCTAAGTGTTCGGGCGACTCTCCCTGCCATTCCATGTATGTGCTTGGGTAATCTATAAAAAATAAGCTTCTTGTCCTCGACTTGAAAATCGGGAGGATGATTTCCGCCGATGAAATATACCGTTGGCCCAATTGATGGTTGAAAAGATGAACTGGATTCTTGGCTGATGCTGTTGCTAGGCACCAGCTACGTGTATTCTCAAGCAATAACATCAGGTATGTATTATCAACCCGAGAATACGCGTCACCGGCACGTGCATGATTCCCTTCACAAGTTCTCTCCGCATCTTACTCTTTGGCTCACTGCTTTTCCCGATTCACCGCAAACATCACCATTCTCGGCGTCGCCACCGATAAAACTCAACACCGGACAGAAAGGTTAAAAACAGGTCCATCTACACACTCAATCTGACATTTGCGGCTGTTATATCCTCGGCCCACTCAATTGAAATTTCGTTTCACCCCCAATAAACCTACAATTATTATCCTTGTCCTTTGGGAGCTCGGCAAAAGTATCATAGCATACCCGACTTAGATCGAATTTATGAATATTTCTAAAGAAGGCGATTTACCGTTCCACGAAGTTTTCAAAAAATTAAAGAAAGAAAGAAAGAAAGAAAGGGAACGTTTTAGGTCGCGCTTTTATGATATCACAATACAACAACAAAGAGAAATACTAACCGATGTTTATCGCAATTACGTGTGCCGTGCTTGCTCAATAAATACGGGAGAACGCTGAATGATGAGATGATTTATACTAGCACGAACACGCAATGCGATGATGTCAAATGATAAGGATTGACAAAAGTATTGCTATCGCAGAAAATTAGTATTTCTCGCATATATTCACATTTTTGGTCAAGTCTGAAACAGACGTTGACTGTGGATATCAATTAAACACACTCATACAGCGCACAAGCACTCCACAAAAGAACATATTTAAGACAAATGGATATTAGAAAAATAATAGACTTACAGGGGTATTTTTTGTGAAGGTAAAGAACAACCACGCCGGGAAACTGTATTCACTGTCGTTGTTTTCATCTTCGTAACTATCATCACCATCATCATCACCACATTCATTGTCAGCCGCAGTCTCGTCGCCTTTCTGCACACACGGCATTGGGAACACAATTACGGATGCGTTCCCAGCACTATCAAGTCGGTCACTGCAGCCATGACAACGGCGATAGAGAGAAAGAGATGTTGAGAACAAGCTGATTGGGGAGTGACGACTTTCCGGAGAAATGAAATGTGTCACCACGTACACACAGGGATTGCTGAATTCAACCCTGATGCACAAAGCGACTGACCGTTGGTGTTGCAGTCTTGGAATAGCGTTCAATTCGAATCACCAAAAACACTCGCCTCCTCTACATGTATACAAACAGCAGCTCGCATTATCAAACGGCGAATCTGTGCTTTTTTTTACCAACGCCGCTTGTGTCACTGGTCTGTCGTACCAGAGTTGTCAACGAAGCGACATCAACTGAGTCACAGAGCTAGCTTGCAAGGTGGTTGCCGACTCACTCGCTGCACGGCTTCAATTCGGCAAGCGTTGCCCAGGTGCAATTGATCAGCGCTTCCTACATCTTCGGCTGATAGCGGCCGTAGTGCGCGCACTCTGACGCCCACACTGAACACTATCTATGTCGGCGTGTCTATTTCACCGATAATTAGGGCGTGTCCCCGTGACAATGCCTGCTCTTCTCATTCATCACATCATGTCGCAATCCGATAGGACGACGCAGCAACCAATCGGAACCCAGGTATCCTTACTCCCCGTTTTCGTGGCTCTAGTTTTTATGACAGCGCTAGGATTAACGATAATGAGGCAGCTTCGGATCGGTTAATCGCAAGCGTTTTTTTTAGCAATCTCCTCCGATATCGTGGATGAAAATAGCGTCTTAATTGGCTGTCAGCGATATCGATACATTGTGCATAGTATAATTATTATCCTGTTCTTTCCCAAGAGAAAATACAATAATTATAGTGTATTCTATCATTAGTCCGTCTATCGAGTGTGGAGAAAACGTCTGCAAGAAAATAGTAATTCATTAGTCCTATACGAACGGTTAATATTGTGGCGTATTGATTTATCTTTCAGTATTTCTGTAGTTTTAGCTATTTCAGTAACGGCTAGACAGGTGTAATTTTGCATGGCACACATCTCTCCATATCATAATAATTGTCCTAACCCACGTGTCATTATGCTAAAATGCTTAATTCTCAAACCAGAATCAATCATAGCAAAAGCATTTTTATTATTCGTATCATATTACAGCAATATCGGTTCTCGTATTGTCATCACGGTTCTTGTTGTAAGTTCAACAATGCGTAAGGAAGTAATGATGTCGAAAGAAGGAAATGGGAATCCTGCCATTGTTCTGTTTTGTTGATGTTGCTTTTTGTAAAAAAAAAAATATCGGAACAACGATAAAATCAAATTGTCTATTTTGCGTAACAAATTTCCTGGTAAATAGGCTTACAAAATTAATGTTATAATTCGAATGAAATCAAAGTATACACATTTTGTTCCGAGATCACGCACGACATCGCGCATTAATCGTGGCCCTGAACTTGAATACACAGGTACACAGAAAATGAAATATACCACAACAGTCACGGATATGTATTATGCAATACGGGTGTCTCGCTTGTCGAAGTACCAGGAGCTCAGCACCCGCTAGTAAAGAGATGCTTAGAATGACCGCACACACAACCTTTTGCAAATGCAGTGACATTTCGTTATCGTCAGTTCAGTTTTACGTGTCGAATGGAGTGAAATAAGAATAGTGTTACGGGAATAATATAATTTTGCCATCACCTGCAGTTGATCGCGTACAACTTGGAATGTTCATACGCGATTCGCGACGTATGTGATACAGCAATCTCGTTTTATCAGCGTACACTGTAGAAAGTACGGTGTAGGCTCGTGAAAAAATAAACTCGAATGACAGCGCCACCTGTACGTGTTAACAGAGATGGCAAATGTTATACAGCCAATAAACTTTAATACAATGATATAATTTTTGTAAATTATTAAACGTTGAGTTGCAAGATGCAATAATGATCTACTATCTGAATCATGAAGCGAACAATCTACGCGAGAAAAGTCTTTAGCGGAGCAAGCAGTTGCGGCAATTATCGTGGCCGCGGTCTTTACGTCTATTGTATTCCTCCGCTATGCCAGGATTGTTACTGATTGTAGGGAGTGACTGGCGATGATGACTTAAACCAACAGACATGCACACACACACAAAATATCAACGACTCAATGTGTGTGGGGTGTCTAGACACCGGCAGTAGCATATTGTCAACATTCGAGCGCAAAGGAGATGAAGTCAATTTTATGAAGACATAAAAACGTCTTTAAATATGGGTTAAACTGAGATAACGCATGATGACATTTGTATGATGATGAATAACTGTAAAAACAGCCTTTTACTGCTCAATATTTGTACCAGACGTTCACCTCATTGTTCGTAAATGGACAAAACCAGATTTATTTGACATACCACGCCAATGAACTCAGCGCGAAGAATTTTTACTCGCTCAATGTGTGTCATTGAAGGTTACGCCCACTTAATATTTTGCGGGCACAGAACCAAAATATGTTTCGCGGGCGAAGAATGTAAAATCAGCGCATGTGTGTACAAACGTAATAGTCCCATATGACGGTGTGTCATCGTGTCTCTAACAGGCAGGTTGACAAAGTAATCTTTCTTTGGTAAGCGTGCAGGTCCACGCATAATATATATAAACTCATCGTTTAGTCTGTGATGACTTTTTAACGAAATTGCGGGAGTGATATTTTTCACGGTTCGCTCCGTAGCACGGAAGATAATTATCGCCGGGTTTAAGGAAGAGAAAAAAAACCTCACGCATGATCGAAAACGACATATTCTTGCATTCGTCAATTTCATTACGCGCTTTTCGGTGCGATAACATATAATAGATGTTGGGTTTCAGCCACGTGTGTCAAATAGCAATATGTGGCGAGGCAGAAATCACTCGCTCGCTGATGACTGCGCGAGAGACTGACCCATCAGATTGGTAATGAGTGCAATCTGTATGCAAAGAAATCGGTGATGAATAATGCTGTTCTCCATATCAGCTTTGTTTCACCTTGTCGTATATTACCGGTTAATTCACGACATGCTTTTTTTACATGCTGTGTACATTACAAAGCAGAAGCGAGAGGCGTAAGCAGAGACAGATTGAGGGAGGGGCGGCAATGAACCCTTTGCATAGTCAACTCCCTATAAAACACCTACGCATTTTGTTATGTTTAACAATGGTATTTAATAATGGCGATACTTTGTAGGACATGTGACTATTAAGTATTTAATACTATTCGCGATTCATTGTTATTTATAAAATTACGTGATTCCGCACGACACGTGCGCTTCGATTAGACGAAACCTTGCTGACAGCTTCAAATTACAAGCAGCAAAGACAAGATTACCTTATCTCATATAAAAAATACATATCAGAAACAAAAATCAATCAAAATCAATGAAAAATGAAGAGACAAAAAGCAAGAAACACAGAATAACAGAAAGTAGAGGACCCTCTTCATTTATGAACAAAGAAGATGTCTTTCTGTCCATGTATGAATGAATGTATGAAAGCGTATTGTATTTGAAATGGTGTAGCATCATGATTGCCGTAAACATTGAATAACAACTGCCATTTGGCATTGATAAAATATAGTTCTTGCAAAGTAAAACATGAAAATTACATAACTTACATGTTTTTCCCCAAATATTATATATTTTGATAACTCTGCTCCAGGTTTGGTGTTGGTAACACGTAATATAATTTTCAACCTTTTCTTTTCGTCTGACAGCAAACTATCTCTTTAGTCTGTATTTTAATAAGAGCTTGTGTACCTCGTTAATTAGTAAATCGTAAATAATACAACCTGGTTCCCTTTTCTTAAATAGAACATTGTGATACTCGCAATCACTTATGTTATCATTGTGAAAAATCGTACTACCTTTTCACTGCTTAGGACAATTGAGGTGAGGGTAGGAAAACGTACTCTCATTGGGTGATACAGAATTCCCCAAGGTAAACAGTTTTCTATTGAAATTAATTGAATCATTCACATATTTTACCCTTTCCTTGAGACGGCCACCACTAGTAAAACATGTTCTTGTTAATTGTCATGGCTGAGATGTTTAAATAATATTGTGTGTTAAAAATGTGTAACATAGCACCTCGTCAGAAGATCATTTGAGTGCACTGTGGTTACCTGCATGTG